GAGAGAGAGAGAGAGAGAGAGAGAGAGAGAGAGAGAGAGAGAGAGAGAGAGAGAGATGCAAACACTCTTTAATCCCTTAAGGTTTTGACAATTTGACCCTGTATAATGTACATATAACAAGCACCAAATTAAAGTTGTTTTCTCAGAAAATGTGTTTAGGTATCATCCACACATAAGTCAATAGGGAACTAGAAGCCAGACATTTGACCCCAAAGTCAATAATACCCTCTTTTAGTATATGGCGTAATACATTTCATGCTAAGTGCTCAGTCAAGTGTTGCTCAGTAGGAATGCTCATATTCAATATTCCTTCACGAGGAAAAATGGCTCAATCCAGTCATGTTGTGAACAGCAAGTCGACAGCTGCAGGGTTGTTCAAACGAATGGAAACACTTTACACCAGGCACCTCTAACTTTCTCCAGCTGTAGGACTCGCCCAGCTGTTTACTCCCGCTCGAGTGGGACAGGAAAACAAGAATAAGCTCTAAGATAAGAGAAAGGTCACACAGTCATAGTTGTACAGCATCGAAGGCGAGCAATGTGAGGTGTCTGGTATGGTTTGGGCATCTTTGGCTCATTTTCTGTGAAATGGAGCTAAGCTCTCTGAGCAGTGACAGTAAGTACACAGGTTTTATAATTCTGAGGATTAGATAAGTCGATCTTCTAACCCTGCACATTCAAGCAGCTCACTAGGTGGTGGTATGCTATTTTATAGGTGGCTAGCATTGATTATGTCCCCATATATTTGCAGAAGCCCACAGACAATATGAAGGAGGAATCAAAAAGTCACTTCATGATTACAGCACAAGCCCAGCAAGGCGCAGGATTCTGGGATTGTTACTGGCCTATGATTTAGAACAATGTCTAGCACAGAGATACCCAGCAAATACGTGCTAAGTAAGCCAATGGCTGCCTAGGGTGGAGAGTCTCTGAGACTGAATCCGAAACTCATGGGAACGAAGAAAACAAGATACACTGCTGATGACTGCAACCGATGTTTGTCCCTTAGGTCAGCCAAGATGGTTATGGAGTTCCTCGGAGCCTG